TAAGTGAAAAGAAAATATTCAGATTGACCATGAAGAAAAAGAAATGTTGCAGAACACAACAATTAATGTAAGAAAGCCAACAACCATTAAGTCATGGATCTAAGAAGTGCTACAAACTCTTACCTAGGCAGATAGAAAAAAACTAAACCTAGACATATCATACTATACACTTAGAAACCAAAACAAGAGAATTAAAAGTACACTATTATCAAACAAAAAGTAGGAAAAGTACCTAATTTTATTGTTTGCAGCTTTGTACTGCCATCATGTATTTTAGTTCTTTATATAGGATATAAGTGTATATATATCATTTATAGTTATGAACATTTTATATATCTGTGTGTGTAGTTATACACATGTTCATGTATTATTTCAAATAATAACTGAAAGAAATCACTAGTAGGCTTTTTACTAAAGAAAACATTGAAGAAAATATTTATGATTGAAGGAAAGTAAGAGTAGAGATGAAAAAATGAAGGAAAAGCAAAGGAAAAGGAAATATGCACACAAATATAAATAGAAATTAACTGGATTCATGTTTTGTAAATATACCATATAGAGAATGAATATATATGACAATAAAAATAAAAAGCAGAAGGCAGTAAATAGAATTAATGTGGTATATTTTCATTTTAATACGTTATATTAGTACTACTTTGTATTATATTTTAACAAATCTAGGTTGTGTGTTGATATAGTTAGCAACTAAGAGTATAATACAAATAGCATTTAACTAAATGCTAATGAAGGAGAAAAACTAAATATTAAAACTTAAGTATTTAAAATATACCAAAAAATAAGAAATAAAAAGGGTGAAGGAGGAAAGAATGTACAAAATAAATAGAAAATAAACAGTGGGATAGTAGTTTGGTTCCTATCTTAAAATTGATCCCCAATAATCATAAGGTACTTTATATATTTACTAACAGCTACAAGGTTGCAATCTAAAATTATATAATTACATTGCTCTTTCATTAAATTTAAGCAAAATTATAATATATTCAGATTAAATTCCATACTTTGAATTATGATTTTTACTGACAGCAAACATGAAGGATCAAAATCAAATGTGAATAACACTAAAGTTAATCTCACATAATCTAAAATTTTACTTTTAGAAATATAATAGGTTTGAAACACTGTGCTAGAATTTAGGTCTTGGGAATTTGTTGCTGTGGTTGAGGCAAGGTATATTAATATTGAGGAGATTCATTACTGTTTAAGCAGTACTTGAAAATTGAAGAGATATTACTAAACCAAGAATCTGAAATTTAATCAAAATGTTATAGTAAACCAGTTAAACCAGCTTCATTATACCCATTTTGACAGAGACAAGTATAGACAAGAATGGAAAATAAACCAGGTCCTAAGAAATAGCTTTAGGCACAGAATGAGCAAATTTAACCTCTTAAGTCTATCAAGAGAATTTTCTAAATAACTATTTTCATTAGCAAATATACTTTGACCCAAAGAATTGAATTAATGGACCCATGGTGGAGTAAGCCTTTCCTTTACTGGTCTCTAAATTGCTAAACTTTATGCAATGAAAAGGTCAGACTACATAAAGAAAGGTAAGATTTCTATGCAATGAAAAGTTTAAACAATGACAATATCCACCTACACTTTGACCAAACTCTACATGTTCTAATTCTTATTGATTTTGCACTAATATAACAATTGTTAATTTTAACAATTTAACAAATATTTATTATGGTACTACAATGTGCCAATCATAGTTTTAGACTCTGAACAAATGTTAAGAATTTCAGAAGTATATGATGCTTATGGCCTAGAAGATTTAACAGTCATTTGTTCCCTCAGTGAGTACTTCTTGGACATCAAATCTGTAACCAGATACTCCATTAGGTACTGAGAATGGAGTGATGAATTGTTTCCTTGCTCTTATTGCACTTAATGTCTGGCCAGGAGATTAAACATCAAATAATGCTAAAACAGATATATAAGCCATATTATACATAATAAACAGGTCACTATGCAATGAAAATATAAAACAGACTACAGACCTTGAGAGTTTGGGGAATATTTCATGAGAAAGTAACATTCAGATTGATAGCTGAAGGTTGAATAGAAACTAATTAGTTGAAAAGAATTTTTCTAGGAGAGTGAAAAACAAGCAAATACCATGTTTCCAAGAGAAACATGATTTATGGAGAACTCAAAGAAGGCCACTGTGGCTAAAGTGGCAAGAACAAGAAAAAATAGTTTAAGATGATGTTGGTGAGTGATGCAATGAAAAGAGAAGCTTCAGAGAGTGCATTTTAAAAAATGTGTTGTCCATTCCTAAAAGCAATGATGATTGAAAGGTGGCTGTGAAATAGGGGGATAGTATTATTCTATTTGTAATAATGACCATTTCTCATTTATATAGACAGTGGATTGAGGGATGCATGGAAAATAAAAGACAACTTGAACAATCCAATAATTCATATGCATGATAATAAAAATTGGTGGTAGCAGCMAACTTGGAAAATCAGGTGCATTTGAAGGAATTTCAACATGAAAAATTGCGAAGCTCTGTGATACCCTGGGTGTGAAGAAAATGAAGGAAAAGGAGCTTTTGGTTTGTGCCTTAGAATAACTGAATGAATTGTGATGGCCCTCCCTGCACTAGGGCATGTTACAGAAGGCTGAAGGTTGGAAGAAGCAGAACATGAATGCAATTTTGGAAATGTGGAGTTTTAATTGTTTTTGAGAGATTCAAGTAGAGATATCAAGTGAGTAGTTGAACATCAGGATTGCAGCTCAAGAGAAAGATGGGAATATAAATATGCAAGACACATACAATCAAATAATAAGTGAAACTCTGAACATGGTTAAGAATCTCTGGGAAAAATACAGATAATTCATGAGGAACCAGGCAAATAAAGGTCGCTCAGCCTGCCAAGGAAATTGAGGAACCAGAGAGGCAGGGCTTAAGACAGTAAGGTTTTTTACAAGAGAAGCCAGGGAAGGAGATAATGCCAAGTGTCAGGTATCAGTGCTGCTGTGAGTTCAAATAAGAGACATTAAAACAAACAAACAAACAAACAAACAAAAAACCTTACAGTTCAACAGAATTGAGACAAAAAGAAAATTATTCATAAACAGTTGGACAAAAGAAGTAACTTTTAAACTATATTCTTGGGATGCATAGGAGTTTCCCTGGCAGAATGGTTGGAGGGTAAAAAGGAAATATTTAAATATTTAGAGAGGGTTTAGCTTTTTCTGCATAGAGGAGAAAGAAGTCTACATTGGGCTGATGGGAGTCCCAGAATCCCTTTTCTTTCATGGTATTTCTTCATCAGCAATCCTAGTCATAGTTAATGCACTGCTTCTGTGTCAAATAGGGCAAAGTAGACATTTATTTATTTATTTAGCCAAAGTAGTTTATCCTTTATCAATTTTACCCTGTTGTGGGCTTTTCCACAAAATGCATAAATCAAAACATAAAGGGAGACAGGGAAATATAAGTTTCACCAGCAATAAAAGTCAAGTCATATTGTCTCAAACTTGAGAAATAAATATGAAGAATTTCTGATTATCATGCAGACTGAACAGAGAAGTTAAGAATGTTATAATAGAAAGCTTAAAACAGAATGTAGGAGCTAGGCACAATAGTGCATGCTTATAATTCAAGCAGCTCAGGAGGCTGAGGCAGGAAATCACAAGTTCAAAGCCAGCCTCAACAACTTATCAAGGCCCTAAACCAGTTAGCAAGATTCTATCTCAAAACAAAAATTTAAAAGAGCTAGGGGTGTGGCTCAGTGGTAAAGTACCCCTGGATTCAATCCCTGGTACAAAAAATAATAACAGAATATAGGATGAATATAGAAAAATTCAACAAAATTAAACAAACCAGTAAACCTGTGAGATCAAAGATGGCCCTCCCCTCTACCACTGACACCAACAGGTTTTGAGTTAGAAGACCCTGGCCCTCTTTTAAGGAATGAGGAACAAAGAATCTTTTCATGAATCCACAATTGCAAAATTCCTACTTATAAAGATTATAATTGCAAACATTGCTCTACTAAACTGAGAAAACACTATAGAAAAACAAATATTAGAGTAGTTGATTTAATGCCACGTAGCAAAATGATGCTTGTCCACTAAAATATTACAATAATACCAGTTATTATTTAGTACACAAGATGAATTGGGAGTACTTTTGTATTCAGCACCTGTAAATTAAAAAAAATGATAATAATATCTAAGCCCTCATTAGAGTCCTTCCATTTTAACATATTTTAATATTTACTCCACAATTATTACTATTATTTAACATTTTGTGAAGTTATAAATTTCAAGCTTTTTAAGGGAAAAGTAAATTTATTTATATACTTTTTCTTCATCAAATTCTTTTGTTGAGAGTGTATTAAATTATTATTATGTAGATACTATGTAGATAAAGACTATTATCTTTACATGGGCTTTCAGGAATAATGTGGGAATAACTTTTAGTTGCAATAGCCATTATTTACACTTTTATTCAAGATTGCTCGAGCTTGTTGATGCATAGGTACATCAGGGACAATTAATGATCCAAAGGATAATTTTTCCCTACTATGTCTTCCTAACCTCTGTGTTGGCTTTATTTCTTTTTCTGCCTTATGTTGTGACACATTTGTCATCTTTGTTACACAGTATTAAGGAGGGAAATTAGAATAAGGCTAATGTCCTTGAAAAAAAAATGCCTGTGTATTTAAAGTACATTAGATAATGCATCCCGTCCAAGAAAAACACAGAAATAATCGTTTCCTTTAAATGACCTGCAAAGTGTCACGGATAGAGATTTTGCTGGGTTTGACCTGTAGCAATGAGTATCCTGGTTCACAGCAGAGATGATGGGAAACCTTTTAAGGGGCACAGCCCAACAGGCAGGACTGCCGCAAAAAGGGGCACAGAGATGACAAACGGAGAAAAGGGCACTAAGAGGTCGGTAAGAGAGAGGCCATCYGGCAGTGTGCATAAGGGTAGGGACACCCTAGGCCGCGAGGTGGTACCTGCGCCGAGTCGAGCGCCCCTGCCACTGAATCCCCGATCCAGAGATGCTCCCGGAGAAGCTGCTGATAGCTGAGGCAGTGCTTCACAGCGGATGGCACATTCCCCATGGCGGGGCCTGGGGCTGCAGTCAGCGATGGGAGGGAGCCTGCAGGATGATGCGGGGCGGGCACGGCGCTGGGAAACTGCGCTAGTCTTAGGAAGCGCGCCTCCTGTGCGCGGGCGGCGAGCACCAGCCCAGMGCCTCCGGTGCGCACTGCGGCGGCGCGGACTAGAGTGGAGTGCAGGCAGTAGCCAGTGACTGTGCAGGGGACAGGGGTATGATAGGTAGCTGCGTTGGACACAGGGAACAGGGAGAGAACAGAAACAAAGAACTGAGCTGGATGATGCTCAGGGAAGGCACATTTTTTTCCTGAGGGCTCTACACTCAGGGCTGGCGGTATCTATTAGCACAATACCCACCTATTGGACTTCTCACCTATTTCAGATCTTACACAGAAAGAAACAGGCATAAATGAAAGGAAAGAGGGATGCGTTTTTGTATCAGTGAGTTTGTTCTTTCCTAGACACGGTGTAGCTCAGTGTAGATTTTTTTCATCATTGAGCTCATTTGAGTTTATGTTTTATGACCAAGAAAGAAAAAAAAAAAACTGTACTTCAAAATCTTGAGGCAGTTTACAAGGTTAAAACACATATATAACAACAGTCTAATGAAGAAGAAAAGACAGAAGGTCCTAAATTAGAGAAGAGTCAGTAAATGATCAGTATGTTGGTGCTGCTAGTTAAATGCTGAAATGGAATTATGTTTTTTAAGACACATGGCTCAAGACTCAAAGTTATTGAAGCCCGGATCCATTCAAAAGGAAAATTCTTTAAAAAGGTTCTTGGGACTTTAAAATAAGAGAAATCCTTAGAAAGTGGGAAATTTTGGAAGATGGTTCTGGGGCTGACACTGCACTCACCCCAGCCCCCTTCACTAGCACAAGCACACTTGACACACTTGAACTGTTGCACTATAAAACTTCGGAGTCTGCTCAGCAGTCTGCAACTGAAAAGATACAGTCAAGAATAGTCCCGTGCAGGGTATCTGGAGTTTCTTGGAAACCCAGCTAGGTGTCCATGACCGGGGTTTTCTCTTGGCCCTATTGTTTTCAGCAGCAAATATAGACTGGAAGCAGACTGCTGCACACACCGTTGTCACAACCCTCTAAAAGTATCAAAAGATCACCTTGTAAAATATAGTGTAAATAAATTCAGAAGAAATTTCTATTCGGAATTTTTTAAAAAACATTATTACCACTGTGTGGTGGTAAGACTTCCACTGGTAAAAGAGGGCTCAGAGGATTTTTCAGTGAAACAGCACCAAAAGGGGCAGAAGATAAGATCTTAGACCCTCACAACTTTGACCAGGGATGGATTAGACTGGAGCGTCCTCTGAGATGCTACAGTGAAGTCGTGCAGTTATTGGATACCTCTAAAACCTTCTAAAACACCAAAACTTTGTTTGCTGTTTACTTGAACATTGTTATTTTATAGGCATATATCCATAAAACCAAATCTTTACTAGATAGTGTTTCCAGCAGAACTCAGCTGTTAATTAATTTTCTAATATACTTGAAATGAAGCATATAGGTTGCATTAATGTCCAATAACATTTTCTTCACCGTATTGTAATTCTGTAATGGAGTATCATATTTGAAAGAATTTATAAAAATTCAATTTGAACAACAAGAAATTTAAATTTTCAAAATGGAATTAATTATTCAAAATTTCAAAAAGTTTTTCAATTAACAATGTCAAATACGTTTCATACAAAGGCTGAACTTCTGGAGAACATGACCTCTAAGATAAACCAAATATTCTATGATTTTCTACTGTTGAGAAAAAAAAAAACACACATAGAAATAAATTTTAGTGCTTAGTAGTGTTCTAAATTGAAAAGTTCTTAAGAAATTTTTATATTTCTATTAGTTGACAATAGTAATATAGTTTTTAACAGAAGAACCTTATAAGTATGCAAATATTTGTGAGTTTTCTTTGAGTGTACTTCATATGATAAAATACCATAACCTCAAAAATTTAAATTTTAATGAATAAAAGGGAGTGACAATATATGTGCTTTTACTTGTCATTCTTGATATTCAATCATGAATGCTTACAATTATTAAATTTTAACAGTTTATGCTCTTGTAATTAATATTAGTGTACATCTTTATGTTTTTATCATAAAGGGGTTACAGGAGGAAAAATGTAAGGAGTGGGAGAAATATCAAATGGATTTGTTTTAATAATGAGAAACTGTAATATGTACCCATCCCTTGCAATTCTAAAAAACTCAATGTAAAATAAGGATAATGCAAACCTTTTAGAAATAAGTATCTGCTTAACACTTCTTAATTTAAACTTCTTAGCAGTTTCCTACAACAAATAAGAAGTTACATGTCTTAAAATGGCTCTTTTATTTTTTTCATTATGAGACTTAGTTATCTTTCCAACATCAGCTCCTTCCTGTTTCCTAAAATTACCTGCACACAAATCAAATTATGCATGATTCTCCAAGTTTCAGAGCTCTCTAATGATGTCTTATCATTATAATTCTGTTCCTTATTATAGAAATTTTGGGAAATATGGGAGATACATGAAGATATCAATGAAGTCATCCATCATTCTCATTCTAGAAACATTTTAATATACTTTCTGAGAAAAAAATTGTATTTTCCCATATGTGTTTTTATTCTGACCTTCTCATTTGATTTTAATTTCTTTGAAACAGTGATGCTAATGACTACACAATACCCATAGATATGTATTCAGTATCAATATCATTTTCTACAATAATCCTCTGAAGTATAGCTCAGTATTCAATTATTTTTGAGAAGGAAGCAGGTATCAAGCATATGATCATATGGAAGTTTTTATGCAAATAATTACCTAATTAATCTTCTAAAATAACATGGCAGTGTAAATTTGCCACTAGAATCCTGCTCCTGTCTTAATGTTTTTTTCCTATATATAGTATTTCCTTGTGTAGTTGGTAACTTGTTAATAAATGCTTATCTTTGATGATGGTTAAGCATTTTTTTTCTTGTGACAATCTTCTATGGGATATTGAAACAACCCTAACAAATGATTTAATCTCTGCTTGTCTGGGATTTTTAATGGGTTTGATTTTATTTCATAAAAAATAATAATAACAATTATTATTATTAAGTTATGTCATATTCATTCCACTGTCTTTTCTATTATTATTATTATTATTATTATTATTATTATTATTATTGCTGTTGTTAACATAGTAGTTCAGATAAGGATGTTATGAATCTAGTACTTAAAACTATGCATGCTATTACTTGCCTTCAGTTTTCTTTCATGGAAACAGGCAAACTTTTTTTTACTTCCTATATATAACATGGCCTTTTGAGAACAATGATTCATTCTCAGGGCTCATTTAGTAGGCTACTCACATGGTTGTCAGTATAGGTGTACCTTCCCATGTAGTGCTTAAAACTTCAGCACCTGGCTGCCAAGGCTTGTGCCCTCTTTTGAATTTCTTGGCATTATTTGGCCTCTGGATATGTCCTTGCTATCAGTGTTTGCAGGTAGAGGAGCCACTTAAATCAGCTTAGTCCTTAATTCCTTAACAGAAAACTGACTTGAAACTTTTTCTATGATAATTGTGTTTGTGCCATATTTTTCACTTCATTCTGGAGTTGATATCACTTCTAGAGAAGTAAAGATAGGGAACAAAAGATGTTCAATTAAGCTAAGAACACTGAATTTGACTCAGCCTGATAATATTACAATATAGTTCTGACGTCTCAGCTAATCCACAGAAATGAAAATTAGACTGAAACCACACACTCTCTATACCAATTCCCATCCTTCTCACTATTTCTTCTTTGTATAAAATGACCACAATAAACGGCAGATTGTGTAATGCTTTTCTTGTTAACAAAGGGTTTCAAAAATGGAATGAGGAGGGAATTGTGTTTCCATCTAAAAGTAGGTAGATTGGCTTTATCAGTTCTCTGAAGTGGCAAGTACTTGGTGGAAAGGATCCAGTTAAAATTGGCTGATATTCTGTGAATCTCTTTGGTCTCAAAGATGGATATATATAAGTCTGTCTAACAGCATGAATAGAATCAGAAGTCAGTGAGTAAGTCAAAGTTTTTGTAGTAATGAGTACCAAACTGGCATTTGGCCAGGTACCTACTGGGCAGGGATCAAAGGCACATATGGTGAATCTCAAGCAATGATACCATAGAACTTTGGCAAATATCACAGCAGTAATGTACTTCAACCTTGAACAATAAAAAAGAAAGAATGAGAACAATTAGGATAACAATACTAGATGATACCTAAGGGAAAACAAAGCTTTCATCATCTCAGCTTTATTGCTAAAAAATTTAGATAACTTCTCACATATGTTGTTTCTGGATTATCTAAATTGATGGGGAGGATAAGGGTGTTTTTAAAACATTTTTGGCATTTGGTCACTAGAAAGTTCCATTAATGATAGCATTGTTCTGATATAAAGCATTCTTTGGAGAATAAGTAATGAGTTCTATTTTACTGAAGTAACTCCCCAACCCCAGGTGATGGATAACTGGCACTAGTTACCAAATGCAGAGCACATTATCCAAATGCAGGAGTTTATTTATCATCTTAAAAATTCAGAAAGATATAAAAGTATTAATTTGCCAAATCTATTAAAAAATAAAAGACACAGACACATACTGATCATTAGCTAATTCCAGCTCATTAGATGGCTACAGTGCACATATTTTTTTGTCACTATATGTAAAAGTATCTTTTCATTCCATTAACTGTGAACTCAAACTCTGTGTAGAAAATGTTTTTATCATTTGGTGGGGTGTAATAAATATAACATTAACACACAAACTAGACTAACTCTTACCCCCTAGGCAATCTCATTCTTTGAATCTGTGTAAGTAGAATTGAATGAGAAAACATCAATCTATATGAAGAATAAAGCACATTGTGTTTTCCCTTGCACATAGAAGGTGCCCACTAACTTAACTTTATATTTCCTTTTCTTGAATCAGATTAGTCCATTGTTTGAAAAAATGATGTGGATGCTAACACTCAACATGGCTGGGAGGGAAGAATAGAAATTCGGTGTATTAGACAAAGGGGA